TATATAAAATTACTTTTATTCATCAAGGATGCATTAAATTGGTCAAAACTGACAGTAAAGATATTTATAATCTTACAAAATATTCCTATATCAAATTAATGCTGTTCTTTTAAACCTTCTATTTCTTTTTAAAGAATCCTGAAAAAAAAGTGTCATGGTTTCCGCAAAACTATTAAGCAGCATAACTGTTTTCAACATTGATAATAATCAGAAATGTTTCTTGAGCAGCAAATCAACATATTAAAATGATTTCTGAAGGATCATGTGACACTGAAGACTGGAGTCATGATTCTGAAAATTCAGCTTTGCATCACATGAATAAATTACATGTTAACATATATTCAAATAGAAAACAGCTATTTTAAATTGTAATAATATTTCACAGTATTACTATTTTTACTGTATTTTTAGTCAAATAAATGCAGCCTTGGTGAGCATTAGAGACATTTTTAAAAACATTACAAATCTTGAATGGTATGTTTGTGTATAAAATAACAACTGATAATTGAAAAATAGATATTCACAGAAATATCAAGTTTAAAGTCTCTATTAATTTAGCTTGAGATGCTCCAATACAATTTTGTAACTTTTTTTTTTTGTCTTGAGACATTTATTTCAAATTAATGCTTTCAAAATGAAATGAGCCTGCTGATGCAAGATACCGTAAGTATAAGTCATTAGCACATTTTACCAGAGGCCTGTTTTAAGTGCTGCTCTCCAGAAAATATTCACTCAGGAAATGATTCCAGCTACAGCAATTTTGAGCAAACTTCTGCTCAGAGTCTAATTTTGAGTGATGGCATCTGAAACCAGCAGAGAAAGGCCATCAGAAGCAGACCAATAAAACATGAGCGGCGGAGCTGGATGGAGAGATGAATGAACACAGCAAAGAAAGAGAAAGAACGAGTGCTATAATGAAGGTGTTTCCTAGTACGGGTTCGGCTCATAAAGGTTCAGTGCGCAGGACCCCTCTGACCCTACTGGAAGTGTTTAAAAAAAAACATCCAGCACCCCTCCACACACTCGTAAACAGCCTCCTCGTTAATACTAACGAGTAATTAAGCACTAACGAGCCCCCTCAGATAGCGCAGACACACGCCAGACACACACACACACCCGCCCCGTAAAACATTA